GCATTTGCCTCCCTGCATTTTGCCTACATATGCAAATTAACCGCCATCTTGTTGGCAGTTAACTGCCAATCTTAGTTGGCAGTTAACTGTCAATCTTAGTTGGCAGTTAACTACCAATCTAGTTGGCAGTTAACTGCCAATCTTAGTTGGCAATTAATTTGCATATAGCCCTGATTAGCCAATGAAAAGGGTATTGGTCGTACGCCCATTACCATTTTTGTCTTTTATTAGATAGGATAGATGTTAATTTCAAAATTGTATTCCATGATAACAATATTATTCCTCTTATTTTTTAAGTTCTTGAAAGATGTCTTTCTGTTTTCCTCCTTCAATAATATATTTGATGTGAGGTCAGAAGTAGTTTAGGTTTATAGTTACTAAAATAGCTTTTTCATCATGGTTGCCCAAAAATACATGGAAGTGTTAGATTTATTGTAACCAAGCCCACTTGTTGGAGAAGGTGTAAAAATTAAGGCAGTATGTAGATTCTAAACCCATTTTTAAAGATTTGGTTTGAAAACCCTCCATCCATTGAACAAATGTGTCTTGAAATAACATATAGATTAGGATTAACCCAAACATTACTATGTAATTTTACCATTCAACTTGGTGAATGGAAGCAAAGAGATACAGATAGATGTCATCAAGTAATCAAGATGTCAGAATCAAAGACATCAGACAGCATTTTCTCATATCTATACTTTTCTGACACCTATGGTTTGAATTTGATTGTTTTATATACCACTGAATATTTCTTGCACTGTTGAAACAACTCTTTCCTATCTCACCTTTCTTTCTCATTAAACACACCACAATACCTATCATTTAATTGCAATCTCTTTAAAGTTTTGACTCACCCTGTATGACGCAGAAATAGTAACCAATGTATATGCCACGAAGTCCCAGCCTTGTTTCACTTCCTGGGTAAAAGACCATTAAGGTAATGTGTAAAGCAGCCCATGGAGACAGCTCTTTTGCAATTTCCCTGTTTCAGAACATGTCTTAAGCAACATGTTGCTTAGTGGTTAAATAGTGATAAGGAGTTAGGTGTGCTCTATAATGACTCTCTACCTCCTTCCTGTGCTGTCAACCTTTAACTTCTGAATTTGCTGGATCGCTGTGGGTCACTTATTAAATATCTCAGCAGACCCAGAATTTCATAAAATAGATAATTGATAAAATAGTTTCTACCTTGTCACCTGAGATTTTTTTAGTATCAAGGAGTTAAAAACAGATTGTAATAGGATCTCAAATGTCAGGTCTTTTAATCTTCAGCAAACATCCCTCTTGAGTAGAAGATTAGAAAATTGTTTCTCTCATCTGTAGTTCTGAAGGAAAAGAGTCCTGTTTTATTTATATTTTCAATATTCTTTATAGTGTTAATGACCATAAAATTCCTAGAGATCATACATTGGGATTTTATATAAACTGCTTGAGTGTAATACTTTTTAAAACTACATATACTCCAGTTATAGTTTCTGTTCTTTAGTTATCATTACAGAAATATAATCAATAGTAAACACCACACTAAACAAAACTATTTGAAACCTCATGCTTCTTTTAGATCTACAAAGATCTCTTTATATACATTACTTAAGTGATGTCATATAATAAGTATATTTTTATTGGTATTTTCTTATCCTCACCAAAACCCTCTCAAGTAATAAGTAAGTTAGCATTACCATATTATTGATTGAACTTACATTTGAATTAAATTCTTATTCACAGATGAAGAAATGGGGACACAGAGGTAAAAATATTTCGGTTAAGACATATGTTTCTTCATGACTTTCAATTTCTGGAAATGAAACAAAAAATTTATTTAGGCCACAAATTCAACCTAAACCCAAACAGAAAGTTTGAAAGGCGGCATACTTCTAGGTGATTACCCAAACGCAAAGTCCTGAGAATTTTCAGTGTTATCCTTTGTGTCATTAACTTACAAATGTCAGCCTGATAATTCTTGAAAATATAAATCTCCTCTTGATATCTAGCAGAAGCATATTAACCACAATCTTGACAAGTGTATTCCTTCAGTTCTATTATATAATAAAAACAATATTTCAGCAAGTCAAGAGGATTGATATTATTGTCATACAGCATGCAGTAAATACTCAATTCAATATTTGTTAAACAATTAGCAAAATTTCAACACTAGAACTGGGCCATAGTGAGAAGGGGCTTAGAGATGTGAGGGAAGACTGAGAAATAGTCAGTTGATTTGTTACCTAGAGAAACTGATGCTTTAAAATATAGCACCACTGCTTTTCAAGCAGGGGTTTTATAGACAGAAATCTAGGTTGATTTCCAAAGCAATAGAACTGGAGTTTCAGATATTCCACGTCTCCCTTTAGTAAATCCCTAATTAAAGAAAGCTTGAACTTCTTGCTTTTACTTCCTGGGTATCTTGGTTTTGACATTATAATAAAAATTTGAAACCCTTTAGTTTGACAAGGAAAGTCTTTCTAAGCCATGTTAGCTCTATTCCAGACATATGGACCTATTAAATAGGGACTCTGGAGGCTTCATTTGAAGGTATGGTTGATCCACTGGATCATCACCAGAACAGCAATAATCAGTGTATGGCATTGTAGTTTGTAGCAGAAAAGTGTCTGTTTAATTGAGAGGGTCTGTTTAATTGATTTCCATGTTAATCAGGACTTTACAACATAGTAATATGTTAAAATAGTAATAATATGCATAATCACTTACTTTTAGAGTCAGATTCCCATTTATATTTATATGAATTTCACCCATGCTCTATTTTAAAAGTATGTATACATGCTTTACATAGAATTACTATAGTATAAAGCCTAGTTAATTTAATCTTCCAACAGTTTACTTAGACAAATAAAATTGACTACATTGAGTATTTTCTTAAATTTTTTGTACTAAAAAACCTACATCTCAAATTTTATTTATTGGCTCAGATGTTTTCTTCCCTTTACCCAGAGATTGTGTTATAGATTTTTATTTTATATAACTTAAAAAAATAAGTGTTATTTTGAAATCCTTATGGTTCTGATAATAACTGCAGGTATGTCAAAGTGTGACATTTAGGAATTTACCTCATAGAATATAGAGGAAACAGAACATTAAAGAGTTACTAAAGAACCACTGTAAAAAATGCCAAAAAACTTTACCCATGTAAATGTGACATCATATCCTGACCAAAGGAGGAAGTGGCAGGTCACAGGGCTCACACTGACTGCTGTCATAGATAGCACACTGCTGTCTTCAGTTGTTTCTGTAACGACAGAAAGTGCATTCACTTGGAGTAGTCTGAATTCAAAATGCTGAAGAGAAAACCATCCAACGTTTCAGAGAAGGAGAAACATCAAAAGCCAAAGGTAAGGCAATTTTATACATAGTCAAACAAAACTGAACCACTTAATAAATTACACACAGAGAGAGAATTCTTATCTGCCAGTCATATAAATTCAACCATAGGGCTTAATGTCTCATGGCAAATATGGAAAAAAAATTGCATTACAAAGTTAGATGTTAAATAATACCTGACAGTTATATATGGTCTTTGTAATTTAATTTATAGGTAATATTTTATTGTTTATATCTGTAACTGAACTTTGAGCACAGATTATCAACTTCCTGGAAATCAGTTTGGTGATCTCTGAAAGATGGATATTATAAAATCTTCTTGCACATTTTTAATGACAGTAGACTTGTCAATGTCTATTTAACAATTTACTGAATGCATTTTACCTCTTAAGTGCTCAGGTCTTCACAATAAATTTAATTATGAGAAGATTTTAAAACAGATATTTTGGTTAAATATTTGATATTTTTTATTTTTAATATTAAAATATGACAGCTTGTTGTACATATTATTTTTCTATTCTGTTTTTTGAACTAAGTAGAGAATTGGGTTGTGTTTTGGGAAGCATCTAAACCCCATAAATTAATAGATTTGACAAGTTGATTCTATTTGGCATGTTTTTCTAGCCTTTATCTTGACAATAATTGCCACTTAAAAGAAAAAGTAGGGCTGCCTGGTCAGTGTGGCTCAGTGGTTGAGAGTCAACTATGAAACAGGAGGTCTTGGTTAGATTCCCATTCAGGGCACATGCTGGGTTGCAGGCTTGATCCCCAGGAGGGGATGTGCAGAAGGCATTAGATCAATGATTCTCTCTTATCATTGATGTTTCTTTCTCTCTCTCTCCCACCCCCTTCCTCTCTGTAACCAATAAAAAATATATTATTTTAAAAAGTAGGGCATGAGGTAGCAAAGTTTAGGTTCTATTGTAGAAATCTATATTAGTTATTGATTTATGAAATCCTGGTATAGAGACTTTTGGTAACATTTGTGCATTCTTGAATTTGTTATATAAATAACATTTTAATTCTGTTTGTGAATAAATAATAGCTGAGTTCCAATATTTTTTAAAGGACTGATTTATTACCTATTATTGGTCTTTATATACTTGACACCCATTCTCAGAGAAAAGATTTGGGAATTGTGAGCTTCTGACTTGATGTGGCATTGAATAATCATCAACATTTGAAAACTCCTTGCAAATTACACACAACCACCCTGAAATAAACTAAAATTAAATGATCTCTAATCTTTGGAATAAATGATTTTTAATATTAATTCTTACTGACACAAAGATCTGATAAAGGACAGAGAAGTATCTTTACGGAAAAATATGGCTAATAACATATCAGAATTTCTGTCTTTTTCCCTAATGTAATAAACATTCAAAGTAACATTTTCCAAAAAGCACAAAACAGTTTCTAAAAGCATCATTTACCTTTATATTTAAGATTAATTTTATATAAAATTCACTTGATTAAATGCAATAACATTGAGTTTATAAGAGTAGCTTAGGAAGATTACAATAGTAGATTTAGGAGAAACAGTAGTTTTCCTCCAAGTATTTAAAATCTGAAGTTAGAATATTTCATAAAAACTGTATTATGTAGTAGTTAATATGTCATTGAACTATTTCCAAAATGGTATCTCAGTCAATTATCAATTGCCTTAATTGCAGAAATTATTGTAATACAAATAGAGTGCTGTTCATCTTATTGACTTTGTTATTAATAAAAGTAGAACTATATTGATAAAATGCATATCTGGTAACAAAATATATTACAGAATATAGTCACACTGGAAACATTAACTCTTGTAGATGAACTTCCATTTTCTTGAGATAAATAATTTTATTCCATATAAATTTTAAAATTAATTTTCCAATTACAGTTGACATATAATATTATATTAGTTTCATATGTACAACATCGTGATTAGATATTTGTATATCTTACAAAATGATCACCCCAATAAGTCCAGTGCCCATCTGACACCATACGTAGCTATTACAATATTATTTATTATATTCCCTATGCGTGACTATTTTCATTACTGGCAATTTGTACTTCTTAATCCCTTTCACCCTTTGCACCCATCTCTTCACCCCCCCTTCCATCCAGTTACCATCAATTTGTTCTCTGTGTCTATGAGCTTGTTTCCCTTTTGTTTGTTTATTTATTTTGTTTTTTAGATTCCACATGTAAATAACATAATATGATACTTATCTGACTTATTTCAACTATCATAAAACCCCTAGCTCCATTCATGTTGTCAAAAATGACAAAATTTCATTCTTTTTTTAGCTGAGTAATATTCCATTGCATATATACACCACATCCTCTTTCTCCACTCTATATAAATTGGAAGAGTTTTGTGAGTGTATATATACAAGTATGTTTTTCATACACTTCACATTAACTAAATTACTTCCTTTTAATATGGAGTTAATAGTTTCCAAATATTATAATTATGCCTTATACTCATTTATTTTTCTGGGTAATTTTTTGAGCATTTTATGGAAAAAGACCAGAATCCCTAGAGATGGCACAAATAATGTTATGACAATCCCTATAAATACATAGGTGGTAAAATGAGGAGTGCAAATTCCTTCATCTAATAGAAGGGAACACAGGGCATGTATTTAGAAAGATAAAATAGAACCATCAAGGGAACTGTCTGAAGTATAGGAAATCACTATCTACACTGACTAATTACATACTCAGAAACGTACACACATTGTGCTGCACTATTTCAGAATTTTTGAGAGAGATTTCCTTGTGTTTTATTATAAACTAGAGGCCCAATGTGCGAAATCGTGCGAAGCACCCAGCCTCCCACCACACTGCACAAGGTGCCTCGCCTCCCACCGCACTCAAGAGCCGTTGCTCGAGGGCCACGGGGGGGAAGGGGGGAAGACGGGGAGGTGATGGCGTACCAAGAGGTGCTCCATGCACCTCCTGGTGACAGGTCGCTTGGTCATTATGGCATTACAGCGTTACGGCCAGTGGCTTTTTATAATCTAGATACTGAAATAAGTAATGGGCAACATTAAAAATTAGGGAAATATTATTTAATCATTTGGTTCATGTTAATTACTATAGGTTTTATTTCAGGTGACATAGTACCTAATTCAAATGGTGGATGCATATTATACCTCAAATAAAAGTTATGAAACTGATCATTTGAATAGGAAATAAATGGAAGAAGACTTTTTGGTTAGTATTTTTAAATGTCTTATACTTGTAAGAAGAATTCAAACCATTCATGGATGTAAAATGTAGCAATAAATTGTGTCCTATTTCTAAAACAATTTATTATTTTCTTATGTTCTCAAGACTTATTGATAACATGTCCATCAAGCAAAAATAATAGGTCAAAACACATATTAAAATACAGTGTACCATATATAATTTCATCATTAATGTGTCCTCTTTTCCACCCTTTATTTTTCTGTTTCTCCATTTTGAATATGACTTCTTTCTTTCAAATAGCTCATAAATAGGAACAATAGTGTTCGTATTTACTTTAAGAGATTCATAATGCAGATTAAGAGGGAGAGACAAGAGATATTTTATAAGGGAAACTAAAACGGCTTTGGGAAATTATTAGAAAAGAAACCCACTATGTGTACTGGAATGTTAATAAATTCCAACAGGTTCAATTTGTGACTCAGAACCCTCTATGGTGATGAGGTACATTTCAAATTAAGAAAGGAATTTGGTAAATATTTGTGCAGTATTCTACCTTTAGTCCATTAAAAATAGCCTTGATTAACATACAGGCAAGGAAGTGTACTGTACTTTCCCTTCTTTGATTTTGTTTCTACTTTATTATCATGAGTGTCCACTACAGATATATTTTTTCAAAACTTTAAGCATACCCAGGATTCACATTGAATAAGATATATCATTTCACTCTATAAATGCTTACATTATAGAACAGAATGTTTCTTGACTATTTTTTCAACTAAAATGTTTTATTTTTAGTTTTCTATATTTATTGTGAGTTTTTCACATACCTGTTGTTGTGTTCAGAGCTTTTCATATACTAATTGATTTAATATTTGTAACAACTCTGTGAGGGAATCTCTTAGTTAGCCTCACAGAGGAGAGGGCATAGAAAAGGTGAATTAACTTGAGCAAAGACACATAGGTAAAAAATAAAACTGTGTGATATGAAATGCATATGTCAATTTTCAGTACTCCTGTTCTTAAATATTAGGCTGCCATTACAAGTATAGGAACAGTAGATATTATTTCTAATTGTCTTAATTACCAGCTACATTTTAATGAAACTAGGCAGAATATATTTGTAAGAGCCTCTGTAGGGTGGATAGGAATTTAGAGATTCTCCATTCTTATCTCTGATTAAATGCAAGAATTCCACCTACAAAATTCAACAGTTACTGAGAAACAACAATAACAGCTTCTTTAGTATTCACATTGTTCAAGAAAAATCAACCTAAGATTGAAGTAAGTATAGCCATGTATCTCCTTCCTGCACCTAGCATAACACCTTCCATGTAGTAGGCTCTTAATAAGTATTGGTAAACTGAATCAAGTTTCTTGAGTCTACTGTACATAGTCTGGTTCCAGTTTGGATGTTTACTAGTGTTTTGTACTTTCATTATTCTTAAATCAACTCTGAGAGTATGTACATAAGAAACTTTGTATGTAAATGTGTAAATATAGCTAATTCATAGTTAAATTTTATTTTTAAAAGAGCACCAACACTGCAAATGTTGTGCAAAACTCCTAGAAAATCCTGTCATGTCACAGTAGAACTTTGTTCCAGGTCAGGAAATATGGTCTAAATATAGCTAATTCATAGTTAAATTTTATTTTAAAAAGAGCACCAACACTGCAAATGTGCAAAACTCCTAGAAAAGCTTGTCATGTCACAGTAGGACTTTGTTCCAGGTCAGGAAATATGGTAGAAAATTCAAATATGGAAAAGAAATAGATCCCATAAATAAAACTCTTCAACTGAATCAGTGGGGCTTTATTTGGCTGGGAT